GATTGTTACACCACCCGAAGCCACTTATAACAATATCCCGACCCAATATACCAGTGGCATGACAATCGATAGTTTATTTATATTAAGCAATCCATCAAACACTTCATACAGGAAAGTAATGTCGGTGACCACTTGTGTGACCACTATTGTACTTATCACGATCTGGTACTATGTCTGACCATCGCTGGCGATAAATTTCCGTCCCAGACATACAAGTCAGTCTCTTTGAGCTACTTCACCATTAGAGTGGACTGGTTTGCTCGAACAATGAACATTGATTTTATTCAATGTACAGTTATTGTTTTGCTATTTGATAACACACTTGACAACTCTCTGTAGAGCCTGCATATCATCGTGAGCTGAAAGCTGGAGACCAACCATGATCATTACCACAATCCCTGCTATTAGCGTTCTTTACCATCATGCACAAATATACTCGTGCATTTTCCAAGGGATTGTGACCGCCTCCGTGGTGTAGTGGTTAGAGCGTCCGCCCGGAGAGCGGAAGGTCGCAGGTTCGATCCCCGACCGCGTCATACCAAAAGTCGTTAAAATATGGTACTTGTTGGTCCCTGCCTGGCGCTCGACATTAATGGGTACTGGTCGGCTCGGAGTCAGTATAATGTGTCTGAGTGGGGTATCAATGCTTCACTGCGGCATGGTATCTCAGTGGGCTAGCACTATAAAACCACCTTAGTCTGGGTTAGTACAAGCAGCCGCACATACACATACACACGCATGCACGTCGTCATATGGGCGAAATATTCTCAAGCACCACGTAAAACCCAATTTCACCTCACCTCCAAGTGAATGTTAATTTCTTTTGGTATTGATCTCAGTGTGGCTGTAAATATATACATCTGAATGCACTACCAGAAACCGCGAATATTTTTGAATTACAGTCCAATGAAACATTTGGAAGAACATCTAAGGAGGCGCCTCCTATCTGATCAGGAGAAGCATATATGCACTAGGCATGTTATGTATGTGCATGAGAATTTAAGATGGATAATCACTTAATAAAGGACTACTACTACTACTACTACTACTACTACTACGACTACGACTACGACTACGACTACTACTACTACTACTACTACTACTACTACTACTACCCCTACTACTGCTGCTGCTACTACTACTACTACGACTACTACCACTACTACTACTACTACCAATACTTCTACCACTACTACTACTACTACCACTACTACTACTACTACTACCACTACTACTACTACTACCACTACTTCTACCACTACTACTACTACTACTACCACTACTTCTACCACTACTACTACTACTACCACTACTACTACTACCACTACTACCACTACTACTACTACTACTACTACTACGTTTGCAATCACTGATGACTTGAAACTAGTGTACTAAAATGGTTTGAAGAAATTCGACATTTTCACAAGGAGAAGAGGGACGGGGGGCAGAGAAAAAGACAACAAAATCTCATTTTACTTTCAGGTGAGCTAAAATCTGACCATACAAACGGAAACGCGGTGGTCATGGCATCAGCACTTTGAACGTCATCCAGCTCTCTGAACGTCAACCTGCTCTTTGAACATCATTCACAACTTTCAAAGTCACCAAGCAATTAGAGTCTCATTGGCAACAATTCTTGGTCCACCGGAAACAGAAGTAATGACTATTCCGGAATAAACCAGAGAAGAGTATTCCCATGTGAATATACGCTTCTTGTCCCTTCAAGTGAATGAGTGAGTTTGCTAGTTTTTTTAGTTGTTCCTAGAATTCAGCTCAGATGATGACTTCAGTGGATGATGCTCAGATGATGTTTTAGTTCTCACAAAAATTGTAATGCTATATATTGTTATACGATTGAGTTAATTGTGCGCTTGCCCAAGCTGCAGGGAACAAGACACATTAATTGTGCACACTTAAATTACTGTGCATAAAAGATTGATAATGTTATACATTACTTTGAATTCGAAACAGTACGGAGTAATAGCTTCAACTCACACCACTGCCAACGCACAATGCAATATTCAATGACAATAAAAAGGAAAAATATTTTGATTTATACAGAGAAAATAATGTACGTGTCATTTCAACTCAGCTGAAAATACATGCTAATAAGCAGTGAAGACACCAGCAACTGAGAACCATGTATTTCCTTCCATGCTGCAAGAAATTGAATGGATTGTTCATTTTGCATGTTATCTTGAGCTGGTCCTTGAAGGCAGTTCAAATAATGACTTGAAAGAAATGTAACGGTGAATGTTTCAATCCCAGCACAAAATGTAATGCTAAATGAAACTTAAGATGATACAATGGACCAAAATGAGTTCGTTTGTCAAAATACACTCTGTGTAAACCCCACTTATGTGAAAGGAACTTTGTCCAAATTCCTCTGATATATACTCGGTCTAAAGCTTGTGACAGTGTAAACGTCTGAAAGCAATATATTATATATACAAATGGTGTACGTAAGTGTCCATGAAATTATTTCCACTACATTCAATGCAGCACAGTAATAAGTATGAGTTTGAAAAGTTTAAAAGTCTGTAAAGTTCTCCCAACCTCAATGTGTCCCCGCAAAGCGCCACATCAAACACTGTGTAACGACAAGTGACAACGGTTCAAGTGCTATTTGACGTGTAGATTGCCGAGCCCATATAACCACTGTGATGAAGTAGAGGAGACAGCACCAGAGGAGCTGCAGCAGTATGTCGGCATCACATTTAGCAGAGGCAAGAGAGTCCTCACATTAGATGCAAACCATTTACATTGAGAATGTCAACGATGGGTGTTCTTTGCAGTGTACTTTCATACTGACAGCATGTCACGGCTTTATTCTTGTATTTTCCACTCCCCTTTGCTGAAAGCTATGTTATTGGTAAGGTGATCATAACTCATATACCTTAATGCAGGCTTTTGATAGTCGTAACGTAACTCCGAATGACAAAGCGATATGATCCCAACGACGATCGCACGCCTTAAGGCTTCGTGTATGTTAACTGAGTATTAATCATCTTTCTTAGTGCTAAAATCTCTTTCTGGATCATATGACGAAGACCTCATTATCACAGACAAAAGGGTAAAACCTTCACCTGTGTCGTGCAGGTAAATCATGCTAGAAACACCAAACGCATATTGGTACTTCCGTTTGCAACGACACGTCTTCAAAGTCAAAAGCAGAAGTCACATAAACAGGAAATTAATCATATCGGCTGTCTGTTAAGGACACCATTCCAGTGTCTGTTATAGATGATCTCAATTTTGCCAAAGGTACGTTCATTTTGCTATCGTTTCCTTTACTTAGCGGACGATCTGTAGTGGTAGTTTGGCCTACGGGAATGCGTAGATGTATACGATTCTCATGTAACTACGACAGCCTGCTTTCTTTGTTTTCCCAATTTGCTGGTTGGAAAGGACCACACAACCATCTCACTAATAAATGAAAGAAAGCATGTTAATTTGCCCAATCTACGACCCAGTCCGTTTGGCACATTTACAAGACTAGCGACACTGCACCGCTTGATGGGTGGCAATGATTAAATGAAGAAAACCTTAGACAAGAAATCATGTTCAATAAACTCTTAAATGGGTTAATAATTTTCCGACACCAAACTGTCTACTTTCATTTTAAATGTAATGCAGTTGTACTAAATAACGTTTTCATATGAATGTTTAATATTTAGAATGCATGAATTTAATACCATTCATTTTGTTGCAACGTTGTCGATAAATGGATAGTATATCATTGGTTTGTTTGTGATTGTTGCTCTGACTGTGCTGATCACCATCCACATGTAGTGCAACTTCATTGTTTCGATCAAATGTTGTAACCACCATTCCCTCGCACTTTGAAGTACTTGTCATTTGTACATTGTGTCATGTTTTGTCTCGATTAAAAAAATGTATTTTCTTAAAAAATGATATGGTCTTAATTATTGACTTGTTTCTGACTGTACCAAAATATACAATATTGGTGCCAACAAGTTATACCGTAAAGAGTTATTTTGTTAAAAACTGGTTGTCTTTCTACCTATACTGAAATATCACGAAAATCATTTGAACAATTTGATATAACCATACATATAGAACTTTCATTTTAGATAGAAAGCAGGACAAAAACCCAACTGATGTTGTGAAACGATAGCACAGAAGCTGTACCAAAAATACATTCCTGCCATGACAATCTGTACACAAAAGGCTAAGATGACTTCAAATGACATTGAACTATTATATAACACCACACATACCTCACGGTAAAAACACCACCTTTCTTTTGACAATGATTTGAATGCAATGCTAATGATAAAGCCTCAATGATTACAGGTCGAACCCTCTAATTTTCCTTGAGTTATGCCCAGAAAGCAATTTCCTGCCTTAATTAGAATCTGTCGCGGACAATTCGGGTGTTCAAATGTCAAATGCCTATTCCGTTCCCTCTCCGGCTGCTTACTTGTATCGTCATAAGTATGTTTTCTGGCTGTTGAGAGAACGGGGAAAACGCAACTTCCCACAAACAAGGGAGTTAGATATAAGGACTTTAGATTGTTACACCACCCGAAGCCACTTATGGCAATATCCCGACCCAATATACCAGTGGCATGACAATCGATAGTTTATTCATATTAAGCAATCCATCAAGCACTTCATACAGGAAAGTAATGTCGGTGACCACTTGTGTGACCACTATTGTGGTACTATGGTACTATGTCTGACCATCGCTGGCGATAAATTTCCGTCCCTGACATACAAGTCAGTCTCCTTGAGCTACTTCACCATTAGAGTGGACTGGTTTGCTCGAACAATGAACATTGATTTTATTCAATGTACAGTTATTGTTTTGCTATTTGATAACATACTTGACAACTCTCTGCAGAGCCTGCATATCATCATGAACTGAAAGCTGGAGACCAACCATTGTCATTTCCACAATTCCTGCTATTAGCGTTCTTTGCTATCATGCATAAAGATGCTCGTGCTTTTTCCAAGTGAATATTAGTTTCTCTTGGTATTAATCTCAGTGTGTCTGTAAATGTGCGATATATACATCTCTCTCTCTATATATATAGGAAATCTACAGGCGTGTGCTGATCAGGGGAGGCATAGATGCTTTAGGCATCCTAAATATGTGCATGAGAATCAAAAATGAATAATCACTGAACGAATGACTACTACTACTACTACTACAACAACAACTACTACTGCTACAACAACTACTACTGCTACAACAACTACTACTTCTACTACTACTACTACTACTACTTGAAGCCCATTTCTGTTGTCCCCGCCGTGATATTGCTGGAAGATTGCTAAAGGCGGCGTACAACCTTATTCACTCATTCAATCACTACTACTACTACTACTACTACTACTACTACTACTACTACTACTACTACCACCACTACTACTACTACTACTACTACTACTGCTACGTTCGCAATCTATTGTATTGTCCAAATTTGAAATCCTATACTAGGTTTGATTCTTGATACTGTGATATACCAGTTGGTTTTACTGTTCGTCACCGGCAGGTTTTTAAAATCGGTTTATGCATCATGAATTATGCAATGCTTGAAATGTTACAGCTGATCGAAATGAGTCAAATACACTCTGTGTAAACAACACTTATGTGAAAGGAACTTTGTCCAATTTCCTCTGATATCTCCTCGCTGTAATGCTTGTGACAGTGTAAACGTCTGACAGCAATATATACACACAAATGGTGTACGTAAGTGTCCATGATTATATTCCAACTACTTCCACAGTAATAAGTATGAGTTTGAAAAGTTTAAAAGTCTGTAAAGTTCTCCCAATCCCCACGTCTACCCGCAAAGCGCCTCATCCAACACTGTGTAACGACAAGTGACAACGGTTCAAGTGCTATTTGACGTGTAGATTGCCGAGCCCATATAACCACTGTGATGAAGTAGAGGAGACAGCACCAGAGGAGCTGCAGCAGTATGTCGGCATCACATTTAACAGAGGCAAGAGAGTCCTCACATTAGATGCAAACCATTTACATTGAGAATGTCAACGATGGGTGTTCTTTGCAGTGTCGCGGCTTTATTGGTGTATTTGTCAATGAACGCTACTGACAGCCTCATTGCTGAAAGCTATGTTGTTGCTAAGGTGATCATACCTCATACACCTCCACACAGGCTCATAGTCATAACCCTGAATTACAAAGTGATATGATCCAATTCAATTCTTTATCAGTACAGATGTGGGCCAACGGCCCCTGGTACAACATTGATTGGTCCATTGCATATAAGTGTATACCTACATGTATATATATTCCAGAGAATGTACATGAGGTATGAGGTAGTTGGTTCACTTTACTATAGTGTGTCTCGGTTGCGAGGCATGGTAAATATAACAGGCTAAGTTACTATCAACAGATGTTTGGTTAGAAGACATGGACATATTAAATTCTGTCACATAAGGATATTCATAGTATTTCTTGGCCATATATCGTTGACGTAGATTATCAAAAACTGTACAGATCAATAAAAATGATAATCTGTCTCAATATAGCCACAGTTACGGATTTTACAAATTCCTTCAGTGACTGACTGAATATGTGTTACAGAGATGTACAAGAGGTATGAGGTAGTTCATTTTACTATAACCTGTCTAGGCTGCGAGGCATGGTATATAGAACAGGTTAAATATCTAACAACAGATGTTTGGTTAGAAGACATATATTAAATTTTGTCTCAGTAGGATATTCGTAATATTTCTTGGCAGTGTATCGTTGACGTTGATTATCAGAAACAGTACAAATCAATAAAAATGATATTCTGTCTCAATATAACCACAGTTACAGACTTTACAAAATCTTTCATTCCTTTGTACATTGAGATATCTTCCTTCTTCAATGGCTAAATACTTGTATATGTATTCCAGAGATGTACATTAGGTATGAAATAGTTAGTTCATTTTACTATAGCATGTCTAAGCTGCGAGGCATGGTAAATAAAACAGGCTAAATCTCTAACAACAGATGTTTGGTTAGAAGACATGAGTATATTAAATTTTGTCACAGTAGGATATTTTTAATATTTCTTGGCAATGTATCGTTGACGTAGATTATGAAAAACTGTACAGATCAATGAAAAATGATATTCTGTTTCAATATAACCACAGTTACAGACTTTACAAATTCTTTCATCCCTTGGTTCACTCAGATATCTGCTTTCCTCAATGGCTAAAGAATGTGAGCTACAGCGAAATTTGGCAAGTGCCAGTCGAAACTTGTGGACTGTAATTACTGAAAAATACAATTCTGCTTCAAAAAGTTGTTTGTACAACATATACGCGGTAGACTTAGAGCTATTAACCAAACATGTACGGCATTCTGGTTCATATGAACATTTCAGACGAAAAACAAATTCAGTGCAATCTACTTTTTGTCTTTCCCAAATATATCCAAAACCATATTCATACAAAAGGCACCTTATTTCTGAAGTCCAGTTACATTTTCCATTACCTGACAATTGCAACAACATGTCGTAGCTTTTTTGAGAAATCGGTAATCAGGCATATTAAGTAATTTTAACCAATATTTTATACAATTTTTATAGACGGTTATATAAAGTGGGTATCTACTACATTCTCCTCGCACAACGTGATTGGAAGTTGCGGACTTAACACCCAAAAAGCGTTTACACGCAAGAACATGTACTGATTCAATTCGCTTACAATTTGACAGACCTATAATCTCCACCCCATGCATTAAAATTGGCACAACTTTAGAGTAAAAGATACTGAAAAATAGTTTCAAAGGCAGTGGCTTGATTTGTGACAATGAGCTCAAAATCGTAAATAGGACACGTTTGGCTTGTATTAATACATTATCAACATGCTTGACCACTTTTCATGTTTAGAGAGTAATCCGCAACTCTTGAAGACAATGACTTTGTTTTTTTCCATATTAACAGATATTTTATAATTATAACAATAACTTTTCAAGATAATTAATGCGTTTCTGGAGTCCAAATATTGTGTCTGAAATAAGTATGACATCATCCGCAAATAAAAGAAGGAAAACCTGAATTATATCTTGGTGGAGTTGGATACCTGGTTCACAGCTTGACTCAATTTCCGAGAGCTAAATCGTTAATGAAGAGGCTAAATAAGAGCGGGCTCAAGATACATCCCTGTTTTAAGCCCAAGCCACATATAAATGTATCTGAAAGATTATTATTAACTTTAACACAGGCACATACCTTATCATAAATCGATTGTATATACTACGGCACATTTTGGGTGAGATACCGTTATGATTCAAAACCATCCACAGCTTGGATCTATTAATAGAATCAAAAGCCTTTGAGAAATCCACAAATAATGCGTATATCTTCCCTCTCTTTTAGGATAAATAACGTTGTATAATTGATTGTAGAGTAAAAATATTGTCTGTTGTGGAGTAGCCATGACGAAAACTGGCCTGTGATTCATCAATTCTTTCATATGCATCTGTTCAAAATTGGAGTCTTGCATTCAGTATTGAAATATACAACTTAAGACACTTAATATGGTAATACCTCCATAGTTAACTGTGGAATTAACATCCCCCTTCTTATGAAATAATGGCGGAAATAATGTGTATCAAACATAGCATTAAACAAAACTGTAATAAATGGAACCAACACATTACCTGCACATTTGAACATTTCTGCTATGAGCTTGTCATTACCTGCTGCTTTATTTGTTTTTAGAGTGTTAATTGCTTCTACAACCTCTTCTCGGGAGATAGGAGAATCCAAAATATGTTGTGTTGTTTCATCAAAATCAGTATTAATAAAATAGACATCTTTATCATTAACATCAGAAAACATGTTCTTAAAATACTGAAACCACTCATCCATTTTTATATTAGGCCTGTGTTTATACTTTTGCACTGTTAATGTCTTAACATTCAGCCAAAACATTTTACTATTTTTTAAGTTGTTAGAAATACAAGATAATATTTCATCCTGATATTACCTTTTTTGGTCGCTCACAGTGTTGACATATTTATTCCTAGTGACTGTTTACATTTATTTAAACGAAACACCTTCAAGAGTCTTTGTCTTTCAGAACGTAAGAAATGACAAGAAATGACATTCCTTATGAAACCACGGCTGTTCAGTGTCTTGATGTGTATTATTACGCTTCATTGGTTCTGCAGCAGTACATAATATGTCTGTAAATAAAGACACAGCGCCATCAGCATCCCTACAACGACCGCACGACTTCCTGTATGTGATTGGCGTATTGATTATCTTCTTAGTACTAAGATGAATTTGTGGATCAGAAGACAAATACGTCATTATCACAGACAACAGGGTAAAACCTTCACCTGTGTCGTGCAGGTAAATCATGCTGGAAACACCAAAAGCATATTGGTATTTCAGTTTTTATCGACACATCATTAAAATCAAAAACAGAAGTCACATAAACAGGAAATAAATAATATCGGCTGTCTGTCAAGGACACCGTGTCACTATAATTATATATAATCTCAATTCTGCCAAAGGTACGTTCATTTTGCTATCGCTTTCTTTGCTTAGCGGAAGATATGTGGTGGTGCTTTGGCCAACGGGAATGAGTAGGTGTATACGATTCTCATGTAACTACGACAGACTGCTTTCTTTGTTTTCCCAATTTGCTGGTTGGAAAGGACCACTGAGCCATCTCACTAATAAATGAAACAAAGCATGTTAATTTGACGCAACATACGAACCAGTACATTTTAAAGATGCGACCAAAAACACGAACATGCATATTTACAAGATTAGCGACGCTGCACCACTTGATGAATACGAACAAAGCCCCAGACAAGAAATTGTGTTCAATAATCTCTTATATAGGTTCATACATTTTCGTCACCAAGCAGTCTGCATTTATTTTAAGTATTATGCAATTGTACTAAATAACACTTTCATATAAATGTTTTACTATTTAGAATGGATGAAGTTAATAGCATTCGTTGTCGATAGTCCAACTTCATCGTTTCGACCAAATGCTGTAACCATC